GCCTCAGCCTCCTGGGTGCTTGGATTATAGGCATGCACTTCCACATGGGGCTACTCTTCCATCCTTGAGGTTAAAACTCAACCCTGCATTCCTTCTTCTTGGGAACCTGGGCCACCCGGCAGAGCACCCCGATCCCTGGCTCTCTGGCCTCTGTGAGCAGCCAGAACAAAACACTGCATACCCACCTCGCTCTGCAGGGATTCCTGTTAGATTGTCCCGTGCCTCTGCTTGCTTCACACTCAGGGTAGCCATTAATCACCAATTGTTTATTCTTTCGCACTTCACGTCTCTGAAATCAAACTTAGCTGAGATCAATACTGTAGCACAGTTGAGGTTTCAGCTTTGCAATGGCAACTCCTCCCTGAACCCCCAGATCTCATGTGATCCTCCGACATCCTCTGGCTGGGAATCCCGTCCCAGACTCCCACTCTGACTTTCTCTGTGGCTTCCTTTCACTTCTCCACCTAACAGGGCATCGCCGTTAGCTGTGAGCCCTTTGACAGAGCGGTGTTTACCCGTGAGTGCTCTAACCAGCTCAGGGTCACAGATCCTGCATCTTTCGGTCAAACAGCCTTTGTTACCCTTCTCTGGTTTGGTTTCGAGCCTACTGACGAGGCTTCATAGCAGGCAATGGCCATTTGTTGCTGTTGCTGATGCTCAGATATTTCTAGTTCAACAGAACCTGAAAGAAATTGCTCGGTGTGGGACCTAATGAAAGCGAGTGAATTTATTGAAAAGTAAGTAAGCAAACCCTTTCGTTAAACACCATATAACTTCACTGAACAGCTTAAGCCACACAAGGCACCCCCCTAACCCACACACAAGCACACATTTCCATGCAGATCTGTATGTGTGCATACGGGCACAGAGCTATGCCTGGACAGACAGACAGACAGAGTGACCAAGAAATGAGACAAGGGGCGGACAGAGGGGCTGGAAGAGCCCAGTGCAAAGCCCCAGTGAATGATGAGAGAGGTGCTGGTGTCCTCACTACAGTCTTGGATTTCACCACCCAGGAGCCAGGGTGAGGGATAGACCCAAATTCCCTCCCTGGATGTGTGTCTGCCCCTGCCACCTGCAGCCTTGAGACCTTCAGGCCAGGGTGTGACTCCTCCCCAGTCCCTGCCCCCAGCTGGCAGCACAGGGCCTAGATTTGCTGGCCAGTGGGGTGAGACTCGGCCTGTGCATCCACCAGGGTGGACTTCCCAGCCCTAACCTGTGTGCTAACTGGCCTTGTTTCCCACAAGCTGTGAGTCTCATTGCCTTAAGGAGGAAAACAGCTGGATCCTGATCCCCCAAATCTAAAGTTGGATGTGAGAGTCTTGGGCCCTTGGTGGTTATGTACCTGCCAGGCCAGGGAAGCCCAGCCTGGAGGGGAGCACTTTGGGTGCCCATTCGTTTACCTAGGGGCAGCTGCATCTCTTGCTTTGGTCAACCGGCTGACCAGGGGCGGAGCCTCTGAGAGGGCGGGGTCTTTACGGGGCGGGGCACTGCGGGTGAGGTCCGATGGGCTGGGTCTCCGCGGGGCGGGGCTGGCTGCTCTGGGAAGATCTTCAGAGCTGGAAGACCCAGCCCCAGAGCCTTAGAACAGCTGAGCAGGATCGCTTCTACCACCAACAGCAGAGACACAAACCATGGAAGATTTCTGTGCTGGCTTCGCCATTTTCTGAGTTTTTAGAAAAACTGAATTACGCCGGGGATTTAGCTCAGCAGTTTGGTGGCCTGCCTTGCAAGCGCAAAGACCCGAATTCAATCCCCGGTACAAAAAAGAAAAAAGAAAAATTGAATTACAACATATTTTTAAAAATTTGACAGAACAGCCGGGCGTGGTGGCGCGTGCCTATAATCCCAGCACTCAGGAGGCTGAGGCAGGAGGATCACTGTTGAGTTCGAGACCAACCTGGGCTACACAATGAGTTCCAGGTCAGCTCAACTACATAGTGAGACCCTGTCTCAAAAAAAAAAAAATTTTTTTTTTTTTGACAGAATACATTTTTTTCCTGTGCTTAAAATCAGTGATCTGAGCCTAAAGTGTAGCTTGGTGGTAGAGCTCCTGCCTAACATGTGCAGGGCTTTGGGTTCCCCCAACCAGCACTGAAAGATAAATAAATAATAAATGATCTTGGGAGGTTGGGCATAGCTCAACGGTAAATCTTGCGCTGTGCCTGCACAAGGCACCGGGTTTCACCTCCAATACCGCAAAAATAAACACTAAGTGATATATATTTTGTTTTGTTTTGTTTTGGTACCGGGGATTAACTCAGGTCCTTGCGCTTGTGAGGCAGGCGGCGGAACCGCTGAGCTAAATCCCCGGCCCGCTAAGTGATTTTTAAAAAGTGATCTTGTGGAGAAGAGAACAAAAATAACTCTCCCCATCAAACACATACATAGAGTCTAGAAAAATATTCTAAACCATTGAAAGTGAGTTTCTCAGAGTTGCGGAAATACAGGTGATTTCTTTCTGTATTGTCTAATTTTACCATAATGAAAAATGCACTATTTTGTACAGCGAAGGCTGAAAGAACAAAGGCTACCTTTGAAGCCATCCTGCTGGCTTGTCTTGGAGAAAGCCCTCGGGAGCTGCTGGCCACAGGGTGTGGGGTGCAGGCGTCGGAGCCCAAGGCTTTTTCGGGGTCAGGGTCAGTCCCGGGCCTGGTGGGCGGTGACATTCTGGTCAGCTGACTCGTGCTTCTGTTTGGGGCTCGGTCCGCAGGCCTCGGAAGGCGTCCCGGTCAGGTACTTCACTAAACTGGACCAGCTCATAGAGTTCTACAGGAAGGAGAACATGGGACTGGTGACCCACCTGCAGTACCCTGTGCCCCTGGAGGAGGAGGATGCCGGCGACGACCCTGAGGAGGACACAGGTAGGCGGGGAAGGAAGGTGGCAGGACGGCACAGGCCCACGCCCCAGTGGGAGACAGCGTAGCCTGCTGGTGAAGGACAGGTTAGGAACACAACAGGCAGACTTGGGCTGGCGTTCCTGCTCCCCAGCTAGTCAGCTGTGTTATCTTGGGTAGGTGACTTAACCTCTCTTTTTTTTTTTTTTTTTTTT